CCACTGTTTGAGAAAATGATATCCTGACCTTTGTGTAGACAAAGGTGGCGAATAAAAACTAAAAGAGGAACTACTCTTGTAATCGTGAAAATAAATGGGGCAACAAATTTAAGGTTTGCCCGTAGCGTGCGAGCCAACCTTAAATTTGCTGCCGCCGCCAACGCTATATAGTACCTCTAATGGAATATATTTCTCCCATTCTCACTCCAGAAGTTTCTAAGAACAGCGTAATAGACGACTGCAGAGATGCAGTTGTCTTTCTCAAGTGTCTCTCCTTTATGGATATTCTGTTTGAATAGGAAGTAATATATGCTGCAGTCATTCCAGTGGTTCTATTTACCTATAGTCATGCTGGTCGCGCTCGAGCTCCGACACGCCGGAGTCGGCCGGTGAAGGCGCGGGCGCTGGTTCCTTGCTTTCGCCGTTCAGCCCAGATGTCGACTTCGTTCTAGAAATTAAAAAAAAAAAATTCAATATTGCACTGCTGCGTTTACTTATGATAAAAACGTCAAATATTAACCCCCCCTTTGGAAAAGTAGCGTGATGAATGACAGGCCAGTTAAGACGACATGTCTTTTGTTCTTTTTTATTGAATATCATATGTTTTTTTGTGAAAACTCTACTAGGTTGTTATTAACGCACACATGCAACATATTACTCAATATATTGATACAAAGATAGAAAAAACGCAAAGAAAAATTCCTTCGACGTAATTGGACTCTAACCAGTGTCTGTGGTCTCACGGTGGCTACCGCTTGTTTTATATAATACTAAGTGACGGGACGAACAAGTCGTATCCCTAGTGGTAAACGCCTGTATATAACAGTTGCAGTGCCACTCAGAGCTTTAAATCATAAAGATCTGAGGGGTACCGCCACTGCGCCCGGCACCCTGAGACATAAGTTGACATGTGAGCTCTACTGGTACGAAACTGTTACAATCTGAGCTACAGACTTTGAGTGACCTTTATCCTAGGTCCTCGACCTCTGTATCAACAATAATGTCTTAACTTGTCAGAAGGTTGTGGTTTAAATATCTTGCACAAGCCTCTAGCTAGCTTATGAATGCTCGCAGTTTGAGATTAGCTTACAAAGATGTTGTTTTTCATGGGACTTGTCAACTTACGCCTCAGGTTGACAGAGAGGCTGTGTTCCTCAGATACTTGTGACTTAAAGCTCTGAACGGCATTGCAACTGTTATGGATATGTGTGTTGTTCACCACCAGGTGTAAGATTTATTTGTCCCGTCACTTGCTATCAAAAATGAAAACGCCAGGTACCACAACCTGCACTGTTATGGTGCACGAAAGGAGCCTCCCCGCACGACGCACCATTCCCATATGTCTGGCGTCTGGGTAGCAATCGGCGAGTACCGTATGCCGATTGCCAAGCCTTTTCACCACGATGGCAAGCATTTTAGTGTACGCCATCGATATGATAAGAAGGGTGTAAAAAAACCATGCACCGTTCTTGCTTTTTAAAATGTTTGCGATGAGATTTCTAAACTCAGCTAAAGTATAGATTTTATGATATTATATATTATATATTATCTAAACTTTATTTTACGGTAATGTCGCGATAAAATTGCAAGTGGCGCGAGACTCGTTGGGAACGGTAAACAGGCTCGCAATTTTAATTTTATTAGCACTTAAATGCCGCGCGGATCTCTTTCAAGCCGATTTTGTATTACTAACATTGAATAACACCCGAGCTGTTGAACATTTTTCATGTGTCCTTTACGTCACTTTTGCGATACCTATATTGTTTATAGAACTTGATAATACCTATACTCTGATCTTTGTAAGGTTTTATTCATTGTTTAAACGATGTTTGCATACTTTTATCGAGTATGTTGGCCTAGTTTTGTTGTGTCCGCATTCCTGGCTTATTGAGTAAATACATTTTTATCTTTTTTTAATCTTGGAACACGTAACGTAATGCAATACGGGTAGGTACTATCAGCAAAGTTGACACATTACCACATTAAGGGTTATTTTTGCGTGTAGGTAATGGCTAGCAGTATTGGCTAGCAGCCGCTTGAAGGTTATTATAAACACAAAGTTTGTACAAAAAAGTGGGTCTACAAAATAAGGAACACGTATATCTTTAACTTAAACTTAAACTGCCTCTGTGGCCGAACGGTTACCATGCCGGACTGCCACGCAGAGGTTCCAGGTTCGATTCCCGGGTCGGGAGAAATGTTTGTATGGCCTACATTTATTTCTCTCGTGAGTTTGGGTGTAATTTGTGGTTGTCTATATGTGTGTCCATGGCACCCGCGACACAGGGTTTCCCTAGTGCGGGGCTATGTTGAGTGTGTGCGTTATTTATCTTTACTTGCAAAAAATATTTTTTTTGACATTGGGAAGGCTTCAACTTGGCTGATAGTATCCATTCACAAAAATATCAACTTTCCTAGTACCATTCACGTTCTGTGTGAGATACGACAGCGAAAAAAGTTAGAAACTTATATTATTTTACCTACAAATATGTGTACGAGTACAGTTAATCTGAGTTTATCAGAATCGATTATCTTTTTGTGTTTATCCTATCATCCAAGACGATTAAACGATTTAAAACAAAAACGTAGACTTTAGTTTGACTCAATTTTTTTAATCGTCTAACAGAAATACAGACGGATGTTTTTGTTTTTGATGAGAATTTATATATATAAATTATCTTCAACTAGTTACATAATTTTTTTTGGTGGTTGGGTTGACGCGTATTTTGTTTATAAGCAACACACTTGTCACAAGTTGCTAGTTTTACACTTTTTATTGTTGGTTTGGGCGACTCGTAGGAAACATAAACGCACTTTATTACACAGTTAATTTATCACATACTTTATTATATATATATATATATATTCTATGGCTTGTGTGAATTTTATTCTGCCTCTGGGATTTATTCCCATTTATCAGGAAAACAAACAAACCCTTACCATCAGACTTATTTCAAATTATTGGACCGTCTCCGGGGCTTCACGAAGCAATCACGGATAAAACTTTCCTAATTAATAAACATTGCAACTGACCTTTTCACTCAAACAAAAACCACAAAGTCTTAAGATAACCATAAAGCACTAGCACGGTGGTGCAGTGATGTGAGGTGAGCAGCAGGCGTTTCGGTCGGCAGATTGTCTTGCACCAGCGGCAGACCGCGACGGGACATCGGCTATATACATAATCGAGTTGTGTGCTAGCTGTACTTTGGTTTACTGTTTTGGGGTTTATAAGAAAGTCATAATAAATAAATGCTTAGAAATGTATTGTTTTGGTTTGATTTTGTGGGAAGCGCGCGTCAAATTTTCTTTCGAGCAAAATACCAATTGCTTTCATTAGTGCCCAGCGTAAATGGTTGATTTTGATCAACCTACAATCACTAATTCCTTACCACAACGGTCATGGGAGTCCTAAAACTCTGTTAAACTTTTAAGTAGTAAGGTAAGCTGAGTTTTTGTTTTCAATATTGAACCTCTCAATATCGTAGTAATTGCACGTCGTAATTATTAATGTTAATCTGACTTATTTAGGTAAATGTTTTTACGCCTTAAAAAACGTAATTAAGAAAATAAATTTAATGTGATATCACTACAATTTTTTCCATTTCTACACAACAGCACTTTAAAACTTTAATTCACGTGTTCATGCTCTAAATCTTGCAAAATCATAAAGCGAGGTATCATTATGAAAATTTGGTTAATGTAGTGCTTACTTCACGGTCAGTTCACACGGTTGCCGATGGTAATGAGGAACTCCTTGGCCTGAGTATGGTTAAAACCTTGTGGTAATCTCAGTGTCTATTTTACGTAGTTGACGAATTCGTGAATACCCATATTTACCTTAACTAATCTAGTTTGATTCGCCATACTAGAACATACTCCATACAAATTAGGTTCTCACGATACGAAAGGAGCTTCCCCGCAATGACTTACTTACGAATCGCTTCTAGTACGTCTGGCGCACCTTGGGTAACCATTGTCACCCATTGGTGACTACCTTAAACCGATCAGTAAATCCTTTCATCACGATGGCAAACACATCCTATGTCTGTGCATAAAATGTGTTTGCAATTAATTACACCCCAAGTAGCCGCTATAACTGTTACAGCATATAGGCTACTTGTGGTGTGATCAGCGTGGATAAGTTCTGGACCGCGATAATAGTGTATGCCATCGATTAGTATGAAAAAATGCATCTAGCATTCATGTAATTATTATTGTTTAATAACACTTATATAACACCTAATATACCTAAGGTGCACTTTAATATTTCACAACATAAAACTATATCCCGAATCACATGTTGCAGAATAAAATTTTATGTAGAGCGAAGTCACGTGGTGAACAGATGGTTGTTCTTTTTTAAATTCAAAATAGCTCCATCGACTTAGTTCTCGGAAGAAATAATTAATTGGATCGGTCGGTAACTGCGTCTCGTATAGAAGACTGTGTCCTAAATTACATGGTGATGAATCAAATTATTGTAGCTCAAAATCACATGGTTCACATATGGTTTTAGTAATATTTTTAAACCTTTGACAGCTTCATCGTCTTAGTTCAAATAAGAAATTCGAAATAAACTCATGGGGTATTTATATGTACCCTAAAAAGTAGGTCGATATTATGATAACAATAACGTTCATACGAATCACTGGCCACACACCAGAACGTTTCATCAAAATCAAAAGACGATTGGAGTGATTATTTTTTCAAATTATCATAATTCAATTTTATTATTTGCATTCTTGTAAATATGACAATGAGTGCGTATAAAAAACAATCGTAACAGCCTCTGTGCGTCATGTGATTGTATGTACTCTACACATTTCGTCTGTTGACACCGGATTTTAGCTTGTTCTATGTTCATTCATTCAGCATCAATCTTTTTCTATGAATGACAGATATTTAAATTAGGCTGGCCAAAATATCTGTCCGGTATCAAAGTATAAATGTGAAACATTAAAAAAATAAGGATCCAAATTTAATCGATTACGTATCGGCCATGTTGATTTACAATCTTTTGCCATCTTTCAGGCAATTTTAGAATATCCCTTTCATAAAATGCCTGTCTTTACTAATAAAATACAGCTCTGAGTGTATTTTGAAAATCTCTTCGTTATCAAAGAATTTTGTAAAGACTGAAATGTGTGAAAATTTGAAGGAGCATGTCAGGTGAATACGGTGGATGAGGATGAATCCCAATGGAACTGTAATAGTTAGTGATGGCTTTGTAAATATGTGTGGTTTGCATTAATTATTACGATTCAGCAGTTTTGGGCGTTTTTCATGAATTATAAATTTTCCCGCCTATTCTCAACATGCGCGCTAAAATATTTTTACAATGACCATACACATGGATGGATACATGGATATATGTAACAGTTGAAAGGAAAGAAGTTCTTTGTTGATAAAGATAGGAGTGGCAAAAATGGCACTGCCTTTTTGGTC